CACATTTAAAATTTTAACTTATGATATATCTTCACGCACTGAAGTTTAATAGTCATTCAAAAAAATTGGCTATATTCAATCTCCTTTTCCCACATTTTAATTTTTTTGACATGTTACATTCTTGAATTGAGGTATCGATATGGTGAGGGAAAATTCTTTTCGATAGAATATATAATTTATATTACACTGCAGCTTTCCGAGCTGAACTTTTCAGATGGCTCTTTGGTATCAAGATTTCTGATTTATTCATTTTTTAGATTGTGATAGGTTCAAATGCCAAAAATATAATAAGTGGCCTCCGTGGATGCCATCCCTCATTACCAACCCGTCTCCGCTACACAACATCCGTTACAACACTGACTTGTACATTGATGGGTTCCCTTTAATACCAATTGCTTTCGGTTTAATGTTTATCAAGTTTGAAAAATATTCCAAAATTCAACAAAAGGAGGCAATATTTTGAGTCTACTTTCTGTAAACAATTTTGTGCCAATGACTTGCCTGTTTCTTTGCAAAATCATTTCCCATTTTAGCAGCATTTTCGAAATCTTCTCTGGCCATTTCCATATTTTCAGCTTTCCTATGAAGAATGCCCCTTTGGCAATATGCTAAGCAGAGTGTCCTTTTATATTTATCCGTGCTTAAATTTATTGCTTTTGTCGCATCATTTAAAGCATCTTAAAAAAAGAAAAACATTTTTTGTAGTAAATAATTTTCTTAAGAAACAATAATTCAGAACTATAACATAACTAAGTATGAACAAAGCAAAAAATATATCAGAACTGTTATATAAAAAGTTAATGTACTAATATAATATGTTGTGATCTATTTTTTTTATAAATTATTATTTATTTATTTTTTTAATTATTTTTATAGGGGATTAACGCCATTACAATGTAAAAATTTCACAGAAAATAAGTAACAATCTAAAAATGTAAAANCAGCTTCTTAACGAAGCCGATTAGTTTGTATGGTGAGTGGTCTTTCAGGTCAGATGGTAAGAGTACAGCTTTGCCGAACTCTAAAAACCTGATTCGGTCTCCAACGGGACAGGTACAAAAAACTGTAATATAATGAAAATGCAACTATGAAAGTTAACTTGAAAAAGTAAAACATTCAAATTTTAAAAAAGCTACATCTCACCTACAGCCATGCAGCCATGAAATCGTTAGTTGTTTGTATTCTCTCAAGTTTTAGCTTCTTCATAAAACAGAGATATATTCATTGTATCAAACCAAACAACCTCTTAAAATGTTACATATGTCTCATGCTACAATGATGTTTATATTTTCTAAGCATTGATTATTAGTATTTCAAATGATAACAGGAACCCTTTACGTTAGGATGTGGCTTCATTAAAAAAGTATCATCCTGACATCTTAGATGTTGTGCAGCTTAGTGGATATACAGAGTGTGCCAGTAAACAGAAAGCAAGGCCATTTCTCATGAATAGCTTGAAAAAATATCGCTAAAAACTCGCTGCTTTTTATTTGGAGCGAGAAGTATTTTACGCCTATTATTAACATTGTCATTTCCACTCCTTATTCCGGCGTGGTGAGATCGAACCCTCAAGTCTTAAATAGCATAAGGAGTCAAAGGATACCTCTTTGGAATGATTATCTATTTCTATTTTCATCGCTTTCACTTTTGAAATTTGATGCAGTAGTTTTACAGAAAAAACATTAAAAAATACGTTCGTTTCGAAAGCGTCTTTTCACTTTAAATAACTGATTTTTCAGTGCTCATCTAGCACGATTTTATTATAAGAATCGCTCTAGAATTCGATGCTGGTATTTTCTTTTTTGAAAGTATTCAAAAAAATAACCCTATTTCTGCTTATTTTGCTCAGGTCAGTTTATTCAACTACACATAATTGAGTTTAATGAAAATGGTAGGTGCGTTAATACTAAAAAACAGTTTTCAATTACTAAGATCCGAATAACTATCTTAACCAAAAGTTCATGATTGAACTCATAGCCAAATTCACAAGAGACAGAATTCGTGGCAAGTCGCATGCAAAAGCCATTCTATTGATCCAACCAGTATCTCAAAATGATTTAAGTCAACGGATTATTGATAACTGCCGCAACATTACATACATCTATAATCCTTCAAATCATCCGAGAGCGATTTAAACAACACTTATATCACTATATGGAAGCCATACACCATAGACCATTATTTATAGTGGTCTATGACGATTTGAAAACGCCTTTTTTCGATATCCGCTGCATCAAATTCCCAAAAATGAAAAGTGTAGAAAAGAAATCGATGACCTTTCAATTTAGGTATAGCTTGACCCCTAATTCCATTTAAGATTCGAAGATTTGATTTCACCCCGCCGAGGGGATGAAAGGGAGAACCTCAAAACGATGAGCAGCCACAGTCCATCGCATATTTCTATGTTCCGCTCTTAGTGGAATCAAATGTGTCAAGTCACTTGAACATTTCCCATGAAGGCTTTTATAGAAAAGAAACAAATCCCCAACCTTTCTTCGATGTTCCAGACTATCAAGGTTGCAAGTGATGTTCGCGTCACCAATCAGGCGGATGGCTCTTTTCTGGATGGAATCCAGCAGATTCGGGGTATGCTTAGAGGCGGAGCTCCATACATGAGAACAATACTCCAAATAAGGTCCAAATAAGCTTTATAACGCCAAACACAATGATGTCAAACTACTTTTTGAATACACACACTTGCATGTTCACATCTCAGTACTCTGGATATTTCAAATGGCATCCAGTGGCCAAAATTGGGTAGTGGTATCTCATTTTAAAACAACTGATAATTTTTGTGTTATTCACTGCATTTTTATAAACCCTACTGAGAAGTTTTTTAGTAATAGACAGTAATATAAAGATTGTACGAGATATAACAACAAGTATGAAGTGCGTAATTTTAGGGTGACTGTCACCTTGGGTTGGAAGATGTAAATGAGAAGGCATACATACCAGAGCAAAGTGTTCCTCACTTCATTCAAGCAGTTTCTGGTAAATATTACTGGAGTTCTATCCCAATACCAAACCGTTATCTTTAACACCTCGATACGTATTTCAATCACACACCAAAGGTCCCAAACAATGCAACACAAGTTTCTAATAAGGGATGTTTCGTTGGGCTACCCTATATATTATTTATGTAATATAAAAATACGTTTTGTAAGAATTTGACCATTATCCCTCCCCCGCGAAAAAGACGATGTTTTTCCGTCAAATGGAAAAACAGGTTGTTTTTTTTTGTTTTCCACTTGAAATTCAGGAACCTGTATTTTTTTCTACGCTTCATACAAAATGAGGTTAAGACCAACTCAATTATTTGTATTTACGTCTTTATACTCTATATTTTATGGTCCAGTCTCGATATTATACTATTAATTACCTATTAAGAACCAATATTGAGAATGATTATCTTACCTTCAAGTTTCTTTGGTGGATAAGAGATGTTATCTTCAGCTGGTAGATGGGGATTGAAAATACAGTTCAAAATTGTATTGTCATGTTCACTCAACTTCGACATGTTTACTATAGATACTTTTACTTTATAGAAAATAAAAACTGAAACGTGTAAGAGTACAGAATTCAATGAGGAAATAAAACTAGTTTCATTTGCATATATTATAACTTGTTTATTTTGAAATAAGAGAATAATTTGAATTCCTTTCAAATGCATGAATAATTAATGAGGAAGCTACAGTGTTAGCGAAAGGCGTCTAATCATTATGGATAGATTTATTAATCAATATGACAGAAGTGATGTTAATCATAATAATCAGTTAAGCAATATTTTCAAACAAAACCATGTGCAAATTTAAATGTCATCCAAAAATTGATAGTTTGTTAAATTGCCAAGGAACTTATACTTATGTTTGAATATTGTTACAACGTTGGGGGTTGCTCAGGGGTAGCATTAAGAGGGAAACACCAAACCAAACCAATTAAATACTAGGTTTATTGCTTACAAGTTTCACATGAAATCCTTTCCCAATCAGGTCTTACTAACAAATGTCTTATTATAAATACATGTCAAGTAGGTATGCATTCACAATGGAAAAGTCTCAAAGTTGTAATTATGCAAGAGCCTTCAGATTGAAAAAAATATAAAAAATTGACTGTTATATGTGTATATTGCGTATTTTTTAATCACCACTCAAATGATATCTATCATCTGATATAATCAAAAGAACAATGACCTTGAAATCACAGAAATATGTTTTGATATTATAAAATTATTTGTTTCTGTTTCTTCGGTCTGCTCTGAAATGAGCCAATCAGTGATTATTTGCACAATTAATATGCACTAATGATAAATTTGGAAGAGTTACAGTGAGAAAGTTAAATGGTGACCAACTTTTACTTGACATTTATTGATTATTATTTTTTCAGCAAAAACATGTCCATTAAAAAGTGGAAAGTTCAACAATACATCATTTTTGCTTACTTTATCTTTGGTATTCGTAGATTGGGTCTTCTGTCTACCCCTACTTACTTCCTGAATGTTAATTGTCACTTGGTAATTGAGCAAGCTTCGATTCACTTTCAGGCATAAAAAAACTAATTTTATGAATTTCATTAGTTCGGACTTCCATTGCCTGATATATAAAATAATTTGAAATCCCTGGCCCGGAGTCTCTGTTATTCGTTCATGAACTCGGAAGGAGAATAGGCCAAGCAACGAAAGATCACCGTTCTACCTCTTTTTTGATAGAAAGAATTAGTATTGCTATTCAACGTGGCAATGCTGCTTCGGTCCTTGGAACTATTCCTCCTTCACATAAAATAGTCGTGTCACGAAGTGTTCTGGCGATGCATTGAATCTATTGGAGCCTCTGGAGACACTCTACATTTTGTTTTATAAGAGAGAGGACATTGGTAGATCAAGATCTTCAGATGATGTAGTGCTGCAGGTTTTTCCTGCAGCTAAAAAAGCAAATGCGCTACTGGAATCAATGAAGTCGACCCAAAGCGCCAATTAGTTTTTATTGTGTTGTTTTTATCTTTGTTTTAATTGAAAGAACTAATAGAAAAAAAAAAGAATTGAAAAAAAATAGCTGAAAATAACAATTATATTAAGCAAAAAAAAACCCTGAAATGGAATAACAGTGAAATAAAATACAAGTGAAAATAGAACAATTGAACAAAAAATAAAAAATTTAGCAGGTTCTGATATTGTACTTGGAACCAATTCTTCTTATCCTTTCCGATAATACTCTAATGTTGGAAAGTGCAAGCACTGGTTGTGACGGCCTCTCTTCCTTGCAAGGTTCCTGCTGTCTTTCAGCCAAAGTCTGTTCCACCAACGCTTTGGAGTCGCCATTCCGTTGAAGATCATTTTTGATGATGTCTACTTCCTTCTCGAGACTTTCCTTCGTATTACAGAGTCCGAAAGCACGGTCTAATAGAGTCTTGATGATTCCTCTNACCGGAACGTTGGTATAAAGGCTTTCCATGTCGAAACTGATAAGTTGGTCTTCATGTGTGAAGATTAATAGTGACCAGTGTATTGTTTGACACTTGTTTGGTAACATAATTTCAAGGATTATAATTGCATTGGAATGGGTCAATCCTTAGTTTTTGTCAGAAGTCTGAAACACTGAAACTCTTCAACATGGAGTCATTCCATCTATCCAACTAGGTTTAATATCCCACTAACTTGCTGTACTGCCTGAATAAAAGTGCTAAATATCTGGACTCTCAATTTCCTGTCGACAATTCTTTTTTATTTTTCTAGCAAAAAATCAATTATTTCATAAATCGAAATGTATTGGTGTGCGAGAATAGTTTCACTGGTGGATAATCGATTTGCTTCTGACAGATTTTTCAGAGTGAGAGTTTCGACTTGCATGGTGTTATTTCTGGTACCCCGCAAACCTCTGTTTTGGGACCCCCCCACTTAGTTTCTAACTCATATCTATGTATGATTTGCTTGTATTCCTTACACATGATTAAGATTAAACTTTGTTCACCGATGATAGCAATTCCTTCAGTAATGAGCCATCCAGCCGGTCGGTTTGACGTGGGTGCTTTGTGCACTCATTCAAATCGGCCGCCGTGTTGGTTAAATATTTCGGGATTGTTTTTGACCTAACGGATCACGGTATGTAATTTGAATTCATGCAAGAATGACGAATATTCAGAATATTCAATAAATATTTGACTTTACTACTAATAATGTGTGGACCCAAAAAATTTTTGATACTCCTTGTTTCGATTTCGGAAATCTGCAGTGCTCGAATAATGGCAGATATTTCTTTAATGACTGTATGTATGTCTCATTTCGATTCATCTCAATATAAATGCCAAGGTATTTTATTTGAAAAGTTTATTTTATCTGCTCACTCTTTATACTAAGATTATTGTAATATTTTGCGTATTTTTATTGAAACAGTAACAGGAAAAAAACGATTAAAACTCTTATTGGAATCCTCATAAGCTGTGTTTTTCAAAATCACAAATAAAAACACCATAACTTCTGTATATTTTGTTAAGTTAGACAACAATTTAATTTGACAGNAGAAAGGTTTTGGCTTTCTACTTCCTCGTCTTTATACAAAATAAATGCTGGAATCTTCCAAAAAATTACCTCTATACAGACAAGTAACTTCCACACAAACTGCAAGAAAAGCCGAGAAGGCTTTTCTTGCAGTTTGAAACAGCTATTTTCATTGAATTACACAAAAGAAAAATACTTTGGAAACAAATACTTCGTCAGGTTCTGACCTGACGTCTTTACGTCACCGATGATTAGTACCGAGTAGTAGTAGTTTATTCACAAACATTCGTTTTCAACAATACAATTCAATACAAAGTACAAAATGAGTCTAAGGAAAATTATTATGTGAATGAAGTAATCTTGATAAGTGATTGAACACTTTGTTTCAACTTCAAGAAAGACATTGACACTAATAAATACAATAATGAAATAACTAAAAATGCAATTGTTAATAGGTAGGATAGAAATTAGCTGTAATAATATAACACAATATGGTAACAGAATAGACCGAACAATGAACATATACATACATATTTTAACATGTGACAATGATAAATTTAATACATTCTTCCATCTCATATTTTAAATTGAATTTTGGTGAATGGATGTTTCTTTAGTTACCACATTGAGAATTGTTACAAAATGATTTGGGCATAATTAATAACAAGGAGGTGTCCAAAAATGCAGTCGTTCAATGTCACAGACAAGTGACATATAATTCTTGTTACAGTTATTATAATTACCTTTGTAGGAATATTTGCCACCTCTGCCCTTTTTAGCCCTTGTACGCCAGGTTTGTTCGAAAGAACAAGTACAATTTCACATCCCATATGTTGAGTGGGATCTTGAGTTGCATCGATGAGTGCTTGAAGGTTTGTTCCACTTCCAGATATCAGAACTGCTACTTTCTTTTTGGGTGCTCCACAAATGCTTACTATACTTGGTACATAAGCTCTCATAGCTATCTCCATTATCTCAGTAAAATGTTTTATTATGACCTGTTCTGAATCTGAAAGTGTTGAAATAGAAATAGTTTTATTCATCACAAAAATTTTCACACATACACAATTACAAGATTAAATAAATACATGAGAAAACTTATTGGACTAGTCAAAAAAGTAAAATGCTAAAAGCTAAATACAAATGTTTGAACTTGAACAAATTTAAAAAAGACTACATGTATAAAAGAAACTGTCATTTATCTAAGCACTGAAAGCAAGAAATTCATTCATACTGTAGCAGTTATCCAACAAGAAACCATATAGTTCATTCCTCATTACAGTTCTACTTTTATTAATCCCTATAAAAGTTGTTATTTATTTGAAAAACACTACATTAATTTCAAAATTGAAAATTCAAACTGTAGATTACATAACCTCCTGTTTTTAGAGTGTCAGTCTACTACCAGAAACTTTTAAATTATAGGGATGCATTTCTCTATAAGTAAAAAAATATTCTTTCTTTCACGAATACGCCAACAATTATCCTTATCTACATCTATAACGGTCTATACAACTATAATCCAACCTCACTTTAAATATTGTCCAAGTTTACTGTAGTTACTAGATTCTAATAGTATCACTGTAATACAAAAATTTGCAAAATAGAGCAATGTGAATTATTCTCAAATGCAAGAAGTCCTCTCCTATTGATACAATGTTAGTTGTACTGAACTGGAATCCATCAAAAACCCGATTATATTATCGTTCAATGATTTTCATGTATAAAATGTCGAAAGGACAGTTACCTTTATTTTCTAATCAATTTATCACATTCAATAATCAAATTCACAATTACCAGACCAGAGGAAGTTCAAACGTTCATGTAAATAGAACCAATTACAAAAAAAAACATTAATTCTTTATTACACAAAGAATTGAATCAATCTAATAATCTACCCATTCATATCCAGGATAGTGCAACCCTGAGTTCATTCAAATGCAATCTTCAGGAGTATATCAATGAAAAATAACCTTCGTCTTGTATATGTACTATTGTTTCACAAACTATTGTATTTAGTAATAGCAGATGGGGTTCATTAATTTAATCAAATAATTATGTAATAGTTATTATTAAAATTTTTGTTTACTAGGATTTCAAATAAAGATTATTATTATTATAATGAATTTATACATTATGGAGCAACCTTCATTGGTAGAGTAGCAAAACTTTATTCAAAAATTCTAAGGCGCGACAGAGGAACACCAAAAGTACTGAAAAGGCGTAAAAAACTTGTATAGAAGAGGCATTACAAAAACTCGTCTCACACTTCTATCGAACATATGAGGGTAAACAATACTTCAAAGATTGAATAAGTAACAATTGAATATTTATAAAAACTTGCATATTCATCATCCTCAATTATTTCATTGGAACATATTTGTCGAAAAAATTTAACGAATATTCAGGCATATACCGACAAAAATCTACTATCATGTGGTTTACATACAGTCTGAACTTTTCTTTGAAGCATTGGTATGCTTCCAATTTTTGATTGCTGAGACACCTGAGAGTTGCTATTTTAGAGTATTCTTTTTTGGAAAGTACACCCAACATTTCAAATATTTATTTAATTATTATATGCATTATGTAAACTTCTTTAGAAAAAATAAAAATTGTTTGAGAAACAATGACTATTCGATTCGGAATAGCGTCNCTGTCAGAAAGGTATGAACTAATCCAAATATGACTGTTGTCCCTAAAACCATATCTTATGAGTTTCCGAAGCAATATGCTGTAATTGACACAGTCAAAAGCTTTGGATAAGTCACAAAGCACTGCTGCAGTGGCTTCTCCGCTGTTGATTTCATTATACATCAATTGCAATACTGTTGAATATAGCTTCACTTGTACTCTTAAAATTCTGAAAGCCATACTGATGTGTACTCAATATCCCATTACTGGAAAAATTCCATTATTTTTTTTTACCAGTTTGGCAATTATTTTTGCTAATGTTGGGATGAGCGATATAGGCCTAAAGTTTGCTGAATCTTCATTGTTGCCGCCTTTATGGAGAGGAATGACAACTGAGGTTTTGAGAATTGAAGGAAATGTTCCTTGCTCGAAGGAGTTGTTAATCAGTTCAACAAGTATATTGAGCGCAGTCTCAGGAATCCTTTCGAGAATTTTAATAGAAATTTCATCAAAGCCAGATGCTTTCTTATTTTTTATGTTTCCTATCACTTCTTTCAATTCATTTATACTGATGTGGTGTAATGAAAAGGTACTGTCTACATAGATATCACTGAGATATTCTAGGGGATCGTGAGTAGGTACAATGTTTTGACTGAGTTTTGTTGCGACAGAGCAGAAATAGCTGTTTGAAAGGTCCGGATTCAAGGATGTATCTGTTGTGTTTGTATACATATTTTTTCCTCTGAGTTCGTTGATTATTGACCAGCTTTCTTTAGCTTTGTTGTCAGCTTCCGTGATTCTGTTACTATAGTACAAGTTTTTTGCAGCCCTGATTACCTTTCTATAGACTTTCCTATAATTACTGAAGTAACAGTCAAAAAATAAACTATTAGTAAACTTTCTGATTTGATGAAGAGATCTTATATTTTTTGAAGAAGTTCGTATTCCCTTAGTGATCCAATGTTTCCGTTTCTTTTTGTTAATTTTTTGTTTGGGAAACGCGGTCTCAAAATGTTCAACAAGTATTCTATAGAATACCTTCAACGGTGTCTCTACTAACAACACACTATTGCAATCAGTACATGAGCATAAGTGATGAAACCTATTATAATTTTTTGTAGAGTAGATCCTACCAAGGTGAGGTTTTTTTCTTGATTTGTGCAATTTAAGTTTTATTTTACTGAATACTGCCTCACGGTCAGATAAATTGGAGGGCATGATTAAACTCGCACTCGCATATTGAAAAATAAATATTTCTAGTAGATATTAATTTTTAGTATGTTTAACCATACACTCACACACACAACAAAATACTCTAAATACAGGTTGAGGTATCTCATTCAAAAAAATAGGCTGTTATGATTGTTATAATTGCCTATACCAATATCTTTCATATAGGCATCATATTCAAGAACATTGTTAATGAAAGTAATTTGAATATGGAAACTGCATATTGTAGAGAAAGTTGATATATTTCTCTCATAATGTAACTTGTAATTTGCCTACGCTATACGCAAAATTATTGTTTAAATGGTCATACTAATGCGAGTGAGACTTCTAGAACACTAAATTTAGAAAATTGAAACAAAAAAATTGAAACAAATGAGTAGATAATAATTCATTACTCAACACCTTGGAAACAGTCACAGTTGACCCAATACATCACTAAACATCTTTGAGGTCGACCAGCCGTGAAGTGAAATTTTCACAAACAGATTGCAAATGAAAAACCAACAATCCTACTACTCACTTTCCAATCCAAAATGACTTTCAGTTTGGACAATGACTTATGAGACACCCCGTTTATAACATTATACTGACCAACAAATTTCAAATTTTCTCTTTTGAATCCCTCGAGTGTTTTCTCCAGAATTTCCTTCTGTACATATTGGAGTTGTTCAGAACTCAACAAGGGGCAGGGACAGTATGCTCCCATTCCTCCAGTATTAGGTCCAAGATCATTATCAAAAATTCTTTTATGATCTTGAGCAGGTAGCATTGCTTTCACAGTGAATCCATCAGAAAATGCCAGGACCTGAGCGAAATTGGAGATCTTATTTTCAAGACTAATTTGAAAATTGATTTAGCTCAATACAAGTTTATATGAGGTTGCGCAATATACTGACTCTCGTGAAACCTAAATTTGTGTCAAAACAGGAAAGTGGTGTAATTACAGGACAGTTTCTGTGATCTTCATAGAGAAATAATTACTATGTTTAGGGGATGAAATCTGTGTTGTTTGTGTTACTGATAATTTATTTCCCAATGTTTTGAAACTAGTTTCCGATAGTGTGGTGCAAGCCCTAACTGACCTAATAAATTGAAACAGGTGAATTCCCAGATGCGCTGAAATTGAGTAAAGTGATCGCCATATATAAAAGTGGTAATAGATCAGATATGGATAATTATAGAATGATTAGTCTTCTCAGTATATTTTCAAAAATTTTAGAAAGACTAATGTACAACAGACTTATGGAATTTTTAATAAGTCATAAAATTGAATCTGATTCTCAACATGGATTTCGCATTGACAGGTCAAAAGAATCTTCTACTACTCTTTAGAAATATGGATAATTGAAGTACTTGGCAGGAATTTTCTTTGACCTTTCAAATGCTTTTGACTGTATTGATTAAGTGTTTTTGGCCCCAAACTATATAATGTAATGAATCTGAAGCCGGCCCTGACCGATATCTCAGTCAGTAAACACATGACTCATCGCGAAAGGAATGATCTCGACAAGTCGCTGCGAACAGTTTCGGCCACTACCGAAACAACTAGAGAAATCTAGAACGGTCGTTGCCAATATATAAACCGGCCTCTCGTCCCAAGATGACAGTATCTAGTCAGTGAGTCTGTACCTAGAAAGTGAATCGTGCGTTTAAAATAAATAATTCGAACTGTAAAGATAAATTAAGCGTTAGTTGCTAAGTGTTGTACATAGATTAGTTGTGATAGTGAAATATTGTTAAAAATAAACTTGTTTATTGTGACAGTTAATTCTTTAATTCGTCACAATAATATTGGTATTAGAGAAAATATTCTTGACTGGATCATTTTATTTATGAGAAATGAACAATTCTTTGTAAAATTAGATGGTGTTGAGACAGATAAATATTCAGTTGATGTTGGAGTAGCGCAAGGTTCAATTCTGGGGGCATTGCTTTCCTTACTATCTCTCAATGACCTCCCAATAAATGTTGATGGACGCTTTCATCTCATTGATTTTTCTGATGACATATTTGGTACAGCTGAATCATCTATGGAGTATATGTCTCTATCAGTTGAACTTGGTATTAGTAAAATGACAAAATATTGTCATTCCAATAAACTGATGCTGAATGAAAATAATAAATATATATTTCAATAAGAACAAT